ATAAAAATCCAGAAATATATATTTTTGGTCTAAAGAAAATTTCCCGTGGTACATGCACCCTAGATATAATTGTTGCAAATATGTTTGTTATACTATAAAACAAATCTAATTCATCATCAATAACCAAGAAAATGAAAGTTTATGTTATGTTATGTAATGTATAGAGGGGGGGGGCTGACAAAGAAAAATCCGCAGCACCCCTCTGACATGCATGGGCAGCAGTGGCGGATCCAGGAATTTCTTACCGGGGGGGGGGGGGGCACAAAATGGCATGGGGTTAAATATATGTAAAACGATGAAGCGACAGAATGAGGCTTTTAGCGGCGAGGGAGCGAAGCAACCAAGCGGGGGTGGGTCTGGGAGGGGGTTCTGGCCCCCTCCCAAGGTAAGAAGCATTTGCAATTTTAGAACCACATTAGACGCATTTTCAGGCACTTTCTTGAGTAATATGACGTAAAATTGCTTTTTCCTACCCCTTCCAAGAGTAGGATCTTTTGCAATTTGAGAACCATATTTGGCGCATTAATGTCCACCGGCACTTTGACACTTCATTAAATTATTAGGAAAAGAAGACGATCCGTTGTACCGTTCTCGACTCTTAATTCTTGTTTGGATCCAATTCCCCCCCCCCCCACTCCCGCGTGAAGCACGGCAGCTTTGACGTTACAATAAATTATTACTCTTAATCCTTGTCTGAATTCATTTTCGCCCATCCCGTGCGAAGCGCGGAAGCTTTCACGTTTCATTAAATTGTTAGAGAAAGAAGACGATTCGTTGTATCGTGTTCTTGTCTGAATTCAGTTTTCCCCTCCCGCGCGAAGCGCGGAAGCTTTGACACTTCATTAAATTAATAAAGAAAGAAGACGATTCATTGTACCGGTTCCGACACTTAATCTTTGCTGGATTCATTTTCGTCCATCTCGCGCGATGCGCGGAAACTCTGACGTTTCATTAATTTTTTACTCTTAATCCTTGTCTGAATTCATATTCGCCCATCCCGCGCGATGCGCGGAAGCTTTCACGTTTCATTAAATTATAAGAGAAAGAAGACGATTCGTTGTAACGTGTTCTTGTCTGAATTCAGTTTCCCCTCCCGCGCAAAGCGCGGAAGCTTTGACACTTCATTAAATTATTAAAGAAAGAAGACGATTCGTTGTACCGTTCACTCCTCTTAATCTTGTCTGAATTCAATTTCCCCACTGGGCCCCTTAACTGTGCATGTGCAGTGTTACATGATGTATGTATGGAACGCCCGGTAGTGCTTGTCACAGTTGCTTCCGGATAGGATTTTTTTTTACTAGTGTTACTGTTAGTGACCACGGCCCCTTAGTGACTGTAACAAACCATATGCTCTTCCTGGCCATTTGGGAATGTGTCAGTTTGCAACAGAAACACGCATTTTGTTGAAAATCATGTGATATCACGAACATTTATACATTCCCTGTATATGGAATTGAAAATAAGTCATGGTTCAATTTCATTTGGGAGGGGGGAGGCTGGCGCCCCCAAGCCCCCCCCCCCCACCAGTACGCCAGTGCGGACCTGTAAAAACCAACTCAATATCAAGGTGGACTTCCCCTTTAACAGCATTAAAGTCTGAAATGATTAAAATACTACGATAGTCCTCCTTGTTAATTGAACTAGTAGTACAGAGACAATTAACAAGGAGGACTTTCGTAGTGTTTTTAACCACTTTAGACAGTTGTGTCATGTACAGAAATATGTATGTTCTTTCTCTTAAGGAATATACATGATGCAGTTACCCACATTTTCGTTCCCTTATACAGGAAGCTCGTTGTTGAACTCTCATTTCCTTCCATTGTTGAAAACCCCTGCCAAATTTCGCAATATTCCAAACTTGATATGCTAGAGTTGACAAACAGGAAACAGAGGTATGTGTCATATTGTCGCAATGGTTACCATGAGATGAATATTTAAAGATAATCTTGAGTTATATATGAATTGATGATGAATAATTTCCATTGAATCGAAGTAACCTAATACTCACTGTTTAATGAAATGTATTACAATTCAACAATTAAAGTGATGAACTCGGAAAGAAGTAAAAAGTTCCAAATACATGTGGATGAAAAAAAAATGATGAAATGAAGATAAATTGACATGATTTTATTAACATTTCTTCATGTATTGTGTCAGTCAGCCTTAAATTGATATAAAAACTAAACGTAATTTGAAACAAACATATACATATACAAGAAGTTGGCTACGACATTTTAAGGGGCTATTAAAGAGCAACTTATTTTTCACGTTATACATGTATAGTTGTTCAAGTTAATGAATATATAGCTAACCCTTGTAAGTTCACTTGTATGAAAGCAGATAAATAAGAGGGGAAAAATGGCGAAAGTTTAAATTGAAATCTGACCAATAAAGAGAGACATATTAAACGGGCCGGTGTAGCACGGCAAATACTGGTTAACGCCATTTTCGATTTCTTTTTGACAACTGAACGTAAACGAATGGACTTGATTAACGGTCAGCGCGCTAGGGTTCGCGAAGCAGACCGAAGTTCTCCTAGCTCACGCTTCTGTTTCGCGTATGTTGCACGCACGTGAATACCCGATTGGTCACAAGTCAGGCCACGGGACGGACACGTAATCTCGTCATGCTACACCCCTTTAATATTTTATATATAATGTAGTGTCCTTTGACAAGGAATGATTCTACCTTTTCCACTCCCGATTCAGGTGAAGTAAACTGGTACCCGGTAGGAAGAAATTCCTTGAATGCTTTATAATATTAAATCGACTGCTTTGAGAGGCCAGGCGCGCAGAGGGGTCGTGGAAAGATCCCCAGAGCCTATAAAACAGCCAGACCCCGCCCCCAACCAGTGTTATTTAGGGTACGCATAATGCTTGTTTCCTCTTTTTGAAAGCACCCCCTATCTGAGGACATTTACATGACAGTTGTTTTTCGCTTATTAAAGAAGCATTACAATCATGAAATGATAGAGTATCAGTCCTGCATTGAATGAATAACATACAAACACGATACAAATATTGAAACAATTAAGCACTTATAAGAGGAGGAAGAACCAGAAATTTTGTATTTATAAAACAAAACATTAAAAATATAATATGTTTAAAAGTAGATAACTATAAACAATTGTAAGAGGGGTATTGCCACTGGGAATATATCTGGGAGGGGTATAAGTGAATAGGGTTTAAAGTTTTGTAATTGTCCTAGCACTCGTAACATACTTAGTAAAACAGGATTAATTAATTTGACATAAATTATGACCAGTTTAAAACATGCATGTAGGAACAAACCTGAGTATATACAGGTCTATTCACACATATGTAAATGTACGATGAGTATTGTGTAATGAGGTTGGAATCTTGAATCCATTTCCTGGATATAAGCAAATGGTTATATGGTAAATGTACCACTATTCTGCAAACATTATAATATGACAGTGATAATGGAACCAATGCATATATAAGTAGAATATAAGATGTCAGTTCAATACAATATAGTGGCCATAACCACTTCACGGTTATATATAATATTAAAGTGACAAAGCAGCTAGAATATCGTCTGTTAAGAGCCTGATGGGCGCTAACTCTGTGTTAATACGTACACGTTTAAACGTGACCAACCCCAAACGGACAGCACACTGCCATTATCATACAACAATACTTGACAGGAGCAAAGAAGATAGTGTATCAGTAAAAATGGTGAAACGTCAAGAAAATCCCATAATCATACAATAAGGACTGACGTTTAACCAGAAAACATAGTTTGTTCTAGACTCCAAAAAGCATGTGCGTGTTTGTAATTAAACTACTAGGCTAGAAAACGGCTTTAAGATCTTTCCGACTTGGTAATGAGAATTAATACCTTACCCAAGACTTTACCAAAGGGCATTAGCATCGACTTGGCTTCAACCCCAGAACTTCCGTGTTACGAGACCACTGCTTTGCCACTGGGCTATTGCTATTTTTGCTTTTGAAACATACAATTTGTCAGTGTGCGGAACCAGCACAACTCTGATAGGGCAATTGGGTAATTTGCTGCCTCTCTAAGTACAGCATCAGTTGATATTATTTAGAATAAATTAACTTTGTAAATTACTTCAAACAAAAATGGCAGTGTTCCTCTCTATATCACTCATTTTGTCAGATTGTTTAAACTTTTTGTCTTTCCAGTTGGGAAACAATATAGCTAGTCCACAATATTTCAATCTTTTAATTTCTAATCACATCTAATCTGCCTCGAAATATTTCGATGCAATATTTATGTGTTATACAGATGTTCACGGTATAATTGTATATACATTTGGAATTATGTATTTTAACAAGATATTTGACATTTTGGATATGTTTGATTTATTATTTGATATCTATATAGTAATTGTTGTTTAACAAAATGTTAAAAATACATGTTAATAGATTTGTTAATACATTTTTCTATAATATAATTTAATATTATCATTTCGTATTCAGCACCTAGTACAAATTCGACACCAAATATCTACAGACTTTTTAAACATTGAGATTTCCCTTTGAGCATTTTATAACAATCACTGTCAAAGTGATGGAGGTTCTTCATGACCAGCTTTTGTTTGCTCCCTCTTGAATACATAGAACGTACTGTCAGTGCATAAATACATAATGATTTTATAACCTTCATGAGTACGTATACAGTAGTTGGTGTTTACAATTTTGGTACAAATAATCTTTATTCTGCTCATACGTAGATTGTTTCTACGAACTGGTTCTTACAATCAAATGTGCTATAAAAACATCTTTTATAGTGTTCAATTGCTTTGGTCAAGCTCACACAGTTTACTTTGCTCAAATGATTTCATCAGCACTTCTTGAGGCCATATTGTGTATTCAATTGTAAATCCTACAGGTCGCTGTCATCAGACAGGTAATTATCATAATCATCAATAACTCTCCACTCCTTTCTCGAATAGATCAGAATTTCCTTTCCGACAATCACGATAACACGGTCATCGCCGTAATTGCTCATGATCTGCCTTTCATCAACTGTAACGCCATCGGATGCGTCGAGCTGATCGATGACGTACTCGAGGAGACCACCATCATCCAAAGAATGCTTGGTGAGCGTGAAGGTGCGGCTTCCACAGGAGGAGGATAGAACGTAGAGGGCGTCACTCTCTGTGCAGGAGATAGACAAGTACATCCTGCCAGGTTCCTTGATTTCATGCTGGATTCTACCGTCTTCATCAGTGATGATGACGCCTTTCTTGTCCTCTCGAAGAAACGCCAGCTGACCAGTCTTCGCCGCAGCAACGCTTGCAACCCCGAAAGGAACTTCGAAGCTATCACTTTGTGGATCATGATATGATCTCTGAAACTCATGTTTATTGGGTCGATGTCGGTATACTGTTGCGGATTGGAATAAAAAGGCGTTTTTTTCCGGCAAAATGTGTCTTCTGTTCTGTTTTCGTTATTGACGTTGACGTTTTCTTTCCGGTTCCTAGAACTTTCTTTCGCACATCAGGTGACGACAAGCCTTACAATGATAAATGGACAGTACGAAAAACAAAATTACTTTTATATAGGTTTTACTAACTTTAACGATAAAAATTTCACGTATTGTTAAAAAACTATAGCCCTTTCTGTTTCTCAAATTAATGTTACATGGGGTAATACTTACAAGACATATTTTATTCGCCAGGAGTGTCATTTTTTTACAGACATGGAGCATCATAAATGTTCACTATTATTATTATTATTATTATTATTATTATTATTATAAAATTCATATTTTTCAAAAACGTGCTGTTTGTGTCATCAATAATTCTAACTATATGACTTTAAGTGCTCCCTTGTTTTATGATCTGAAATGTTTGCCGGTCTTTGATCTCATAAAATTTAACATTTTAGTATTCATGTTAAAACACTTCATAGCAAAAGGCGGATCAAGAGGGGGGGGGGGGGGCACCCCTGGGGAATAACGGGTAAAACACGTTAAATTTACCTTTTTCATTGTTTTTTTTAAAGACGGGCCCCCTCCCCTGGTGCTCATGGGGGAAGGGTGAGGGATGCGATTTTCGAATTGTCTGGGGGAAAAAAAATTAGTGCTCACTACCCCCCCCCCGTATCATTTTGATGATTCCAAACTAATACATATGTAAACCACATGATCTAGCTTTCCAAACACTTCCACACAGTTTTTTTTTACATTGCAATTGCATGTACTCGTCTTTATATTTTCAAATATATTTCTTACCTGACCCTGGAATGCCCATGGTCAGTGTCGGACTTCCAGTTAAACAGGTCGACATATAGGACGTTGGGACAGGGACAGGGACAGCTGACGCTATACGATATCCGGTGAAAGTTGCACCTGCTAAATTGGCTGTTCTCTGGATCTTATCAGGTGGTGATTTGGAAAGTGTCGAGAATGGTGGTGTCTGTCCCATCTGGTTACCTACATAGATAATCCGTCCTTTGCAATCCGTCGTCATCATTTCTGTGTCAGTGGACCAAGAAGATGGAGTTACTGACTTCATATTCTCAAAAGAAGAGTAGTTACCATTTCTGCCGTTGATTTCAGACAGCTGTACCATACGTATTCCCAATTCGAGATTGTCTCGAAATGATATATACATCACCTGGTCTTGAAACGAAACTGCCACTTCTGCGACAGACTGGTTGTTCTGGACACTAAGAAGTTTGTCATTCCATCCAGATTCCTGGCCATCAAGAGGTCTTTTGTACACGTTTCTTCTGGTTTGCAAGATGACATGACTGTTGTTACAGAAAACGCGGGGCGCAGAAGACTTGGAGCCAAGTTTAAGAGTGGACTTTACTTGCCAAACTCCAGATAACACAACATCAGCATAGGAGGACATTGTCAGTGAAAGATGATGGCTTTGTATTGACGTACCTTTCAGAGCTAAGATGTCATCTACAGCCGCCACTTTGGATTCCTTTGCTAAGAGTTCCTCCATTTTCTTGATGAGGTCATCGGGTAGAGCACTAAACTCAGGTGCTTCATTTGTTACTAAGATACTGTCTGCTTGTGATACCACACGCTCGATATTGTCTGTAATCTCTGAAATGTGGTCTCTGCTGAGCTGTACATTTCGTTTGAATGCCCTTTCGAGCTTGCCTACTTTTGCGAGAAGCTGTTCCTCTGCCTCTTTTAGATACGACGTGGCTGCAAGCGTGGCAGCAGCAGTGCTTTCTCGCATCTCTTGGAATGTTTTAGCTGCACCGGCTCGCTCTTTCTTCTCGACCTTATTCATGCTCCATTCCATCTCCTCCTTCCGCTGCTGACACCTATCCCGAAGACGTCCTATCTCTTTTTTCATTTCATTGAAAATGTGCCGCAACGTTGTACAGTCGTGCCCATTGTGTTCTAGAACAACGCAGTCTCTGCATATGCGAAGTTTGCAGGTTTTGCAGTAGTAGCTCATCAACTCCCAGTGTTCTGCACACTTGGATGGGTTCCTCTTTTCAGAATCCTCCAAAGGGCTAACCTTCACCTTCCCGTTGTGGATGTCCGAGAGCAGGACAGTGCGATGATTCGTATACTTGAGCTTCATCCTTTCGTGGGACTCGGTACACGATTGGCAGATAAATTCAAAGCAATCTCTACAGTAGGTTATCAGTGGAGTTTCAGTATCCCCACAGCTATCACATCCTTTTTTACTCGAGTCCAGTTTGGTCTTCAGGGCTTCAAGGATTCCACATGTGAGCGGGTCAGACTTGAGGCCTGATACACCTTTTCCCGGTAGAGTCGATGTTTTCCGGCACATCGGACATTTCAAGCGCGAGTTTGCTTCTCCTTCTGAAGAAACGACCATTTCCAAGCATTTCTCGCAGAATGTATGATCACATGAAGAGAGATGCCTTGGGCTGGTAAGGACCTGCATACAGACCGCACAACACAGCTCCTTCTCAAGTTTTTCAACAGATTTTGCTGCAGCCATCCTGTGACTTTCGATCAAAACTAGAAATGTGATTTGGTCTCTAATAGGCTAATTATCAAAGATTTCGTCTAAAGGCCTCCAATTTAAGACAACACCGCATGACTTATAAGAACACAACTCTAGTCGCTAACTGCCACTGGCTCTGAGAATAACTACAGTAGAAAAACATGAGTATATATATATTATACAAATTGTGTGGGGATTCCCCGCCACAACTGTAATCCATATACTTCTCATCAAGCAGCTATACATGCCATTGTGCAAATACGTTAGCGGTGCGCTGGTAATCCCCAGTCACATGCACTAGACAACCAGGAACATATTTACTTATGTTATTCATACCATATTTTCATAATCACAAAGGCCAGTTCTTAACAATGGTTGTTATAGTCCACAAATATTACAACATGGACCTATTATGAACGCTGTTTATACACAAGTGGAATTAATGAATGCGTGCAGAAGAATCGCTGGACGATAATTTTTATATCTAAGCTATTGTCGGAGGTTACAGCCCACGTAATGTATTTAACAATTTTAGCTCAATGTAGGCCTATATTTGGTAAGGGTTGGAGCAGGTGGGGGGGGGGCGACAAATTTTGATACTTTCCATAGGACAGAGGCGAAGCGTAGGTCTAGGCCCCCGGGCAATGGAAATATGAGGATAATGAATTGCGAGAGCATCATATATACCGTTACAATGGAAGGATTGGGGAGAGCTAAATTATTTTCTCTTCATGTTATTTCACAACTCTTCCTTTCTCTCTGTTTTTCTTCTTTTCTCTTGTTTTTCCCGTTTAATTTGTTTGTTTTTGTTGGATTACTGTGCCCCCCCACCGAGCGTCGCCTCTGCACAAAAGACATGAGGAGCAGAGTGTCCTATTTACTTGACAAGGTGTCATGCCCTCCCCCAGTCCCTGACGACAGGGTTCAGATACACTATCGTCAATGAATAACCCGGCATACTATGACGACGATTAATATATAAATGTCTCCTGCAGTACTCATAGGAAAACAATTCTTGAACTATGGCAGGCCTTTCATGCCGTTGGTTGCTCCCGCAATTTGTCTCTCAAGGGACGAGTAAATCGTTGTCACAAATCTCCGGAGTTGACATTTCCTTCATTTATATCGTGTGGAAGAAAAAAAAAATGACTTTGAATTCATACCATGGAAGGAAACTTGATTATGCCCCATAACATATTTAATCTTGAACCAGATATAAAATTGCGCGAGAAATTAAAATCTTCAGATGATTTTTTTTGTCTTCAACAATAAACTATCCACAAAAATAAATATCTTTAGATTTGTAATCATGGTGTGCACGTCCCTGAAAGATGGTGATAACAACCAGTGCCATGACCGGCCTGTCATAGTTCCATTCTAACTTTAGTCGATTTCAGTCTTTGTGAAACATGGCCCTCGTCATACTGGATACTGGAGAGGCTCATACTCATTAAGGTGAAATGTAAATTGAGCTTATATATGTATGTATTGGCCGATTAGCATTTGTTAACAGGGCTTTAATCCATTTGTTATTACATTTTTCCCGAATGAACACGGTAACAAAGTCGTATCAAAATAGTGATGGCAGCAAAATTATCGCTGTCATGGTCAGGGGCTAATCTAGCATTTTTCTTAGGTGGGGGGGGGGGGGGGGGGGTTCGAACCGCATAGCGGCGACGCGATTTTCTTTTTGCTATTTTGAAACCCCGTAAGTAAGTGGCATATACTAACATCTACTAATGGGCCTACTGTGTGGGTCTGGACATATGATGCCGTTTTTTATGCACATCACATTTTCACTTGGCAGCCCGGGGGGGGGGGGGGTTAAACCCCCTACCCCCTTTGATTCACCTCTGATGGTTATGCAAACACTGTGCTCTTGGTTGGTGGTTACGTTCACTGGCTCATGAAAAGCTAAAACTCAAGCTTCGTTACACATCATAGTGAGATGAATAAGAACAGCCATGGAAGCATTGGGTTGATAACAAATAGTTTTTTTTTCTTCATTAAAGAACACATGGAATGTAGTACCATCAATGTTGCCAACAAATACATTGCTGTAGTCGATGACGTAGTCTGGGTTTGATTTAGTCATTGGGGGAGAGTACTGATGTCATGGTGATATATTGCAGGCACAAAGCCTAGCTTATCAACTGTTGTGCATAACACTGTTAGCATTGTTAGAATATTGTGAAGGCATCCTTCATAGGCTCTGTGCTTTATCGGGGCACAGAATGAGAGGAATGGCAAGTTCTACTGCAACGTTGAGGGTGTGTTATTTTATCAGCTGAATTGCATGGGTGCGCGACACGGAAACGGAGAGGCTTGACTACTCCGCTCTGACTCAGACCACGGACCTACTAATTCTGTTGCTGTTTTAGCTTTTATGGCGTATATCATTCAGTTATGAATAATTACGCCGAATTCAAATTGCATTAGCGATTTTAAATGAAGCAGAAAAGAGAAGGGGAAAAATGATTAGACTGACAGAGCAGAGCTCTGCTCCAGGTTTCATGAACTGTGGTACGTCTACACCTGTAGACTAGGGTTTGGGGTGGGTGATCGCTGGATGAAATGCTACAGAAGAAGGCTTTCGATCGAAGGACGGGAGGGTTTGGAAGAGGGGCGTCATCTTCTTTTTGCGTCTCCCTAGACCCCACCATTTTAGTAGAGCTCCCATTAATCATCATTAACACAATTAATTATTGCTCGTCAACATCGAACATCGCGAACACCATGATCATTACCACTGGAATTAAAATCATTGAGAATAAATCAATTCAATATCATACTTCTAAAATTAATTATGAAGAAAAGACACAGACGGTTAACAACTGTTTTCCCATTTTTGAGAAATTGTATGAATCTGTTTTCCTGTCCAATAAACGATCCATTTGAGTAATCAGCTATGTGACACCAGTGCATCCCTTCACTAAACCGTCATCCCATTGAAACACGTGTTAAATCTAATAGGCCTACCCGCACTTAACAAAGAAATTTGCGAGTAACCTCACAAAGGAAACGTCCCACTGGCTCCCCCCTACGCGAGCTTCCCGCACTTCCCGCAACCTGCGCAACGCTAAAGACTATTCAGAAATAAAATGCAAAAATGAGCGCTACAGAAAGAGCGCACTTCCCTTCATTGTGAAGTTACTCAATTCAAAACTGGAATAATGTAAAGACAGATCTCTTGTTCTTAATGCTAAGCATTTACGTAAATCAAATTGTTATCTTATAGATGTGCTTGAATGAAAAATGATATTGTTTACTGAAGGTACATGTTTTGTTTATACGGATGATATTAATTTCAATATTGCATTACCAACCATATTCTCTATTAGCCAATAATAGGAAGTGAAACTATAATTTCTCCATTCGTCTTAGGTGAATTATATGTCCATTTTGTTCTCCATATACATGTACCTTGCTCACATGACATTATAGGCCTACTTTGAAGCTTGCAAAACAGATAATTTTTCCTTGCACTGATCATAATTTATTCAACTATTATATTCTTCCTATGAATTTTCTCAAGTCATATCATAAAACACTTATTTTTCCACATCCATTACCCACTTCCGTTATCCCACCATCAATATTCTTTGATCTAAGGTGTACCTATAATTGTTTGTTATGAATGTACTATTTTTAATGACTTTTTAATACTATTGTATTTTGTGCAGTATCCTTGTGTTATTACTTATGCAAATTGCACTCAATTCAGCCGAAAGGCTGCCATGTACAATGTTTTTTATACCACAATAAATAAATAAATAAATAAAAAATTGAATAGATCAACACGTGTATATTAAGAAAAGGTTATTTTCACCTTTTTTTAACATCTCACCTGATTGAGCAAAATAATTTAAAAGTTCATGGAATTCAGACCTTCTTGAAACTAATTTAAAAGCAATCTGTATCAAATACGTTTTCATATTGTAATAGGCAGTGTGATTGAGCAGTGCGTCCAAATTAAAGAACTGGTGGGAAAACGTGCCGCAGAGGGAATAATTATCCCTGATTTTATCTATAAATCGTATATGAGCACTTAATTTCCATTTCTCTTCTTTCTGGACAGGTCTTGAATAACAATTATATCCCGTATAAAAGTGTTTTGTAGCTTGTTCTATATGATACTGGGAAATGTCAAGATTTTCATCCAGACAAATCTAAGTCTTAGCATAGTTCTGTTATCAGATCCTCTCTTTATTGCCTCTTAGTCGAATGTATTTAGGAATCATATCAATTATTCTTTGAAATGTATCACATTTCAGGCTGATTTAGGCAACATGCCTAGTACAGAAGTCCGAAAATGTGCCTTCCATCTCCGAAATAATGATTTTAAATTGTTTTTTTTTTGCTAGCTAGAGAATTTTGAAATAAGTATAGAAAGTAAAATCGGAATAACTTATTTGTTTCCCCTTGTCAGATAGTTTTGTAGTAAAAAGGAAACGATCAATGTTGATAACCTTTTGTTTTGTTTTATTTTGATTTTTTAGGGAAGTTCTAAATTAGTATTGTCTTTCAAATGCCGTTGGAATTCAACCTTTTAATTTTGTTTGGCCTGCAAATGGGACATAGTACCTTTAACACTGATTAATCATGCCAATTTTCCTATCTTTTTCCCCCTTGTTTCTTAGGAATCATCATGGGGGCGTTTGTGGTTTGTTGGCTTCCTTTCTTTCTTCTCTACGTTATTAAGCCATTCTGTCTCAACTGCCAAATACCCAAGTCTCTTGATCGGTTCGTTCTCTGGTTAGGCTATCTCAACAGTCTCCTTAATCCAATCATTTACATCTGCTGCAAGCCGCTATTCAGAGTGACATTCAAACGTATACTTCTCTTCAAGTATTGCAGGTAAGCGACTGGATTGTACGCATCAACACACAAACACTGTTGCCCATAGAGTTAAAGAAAAAATAAATATTTGTATGCATATAATGAATGTGACAAATATTTTATTTTTGATGGATAACGTGTATATATTTTTATAA